TAAATCTGTGAGTTTGTGAGTGTGTGAATGTGGTGTGTGTAAGAGGGTGTGTGTGTGTGTGTGTGTGTGTGTGTGTGTGTGTGTGTGTGTGTGTGTGTGTGTGTGTGTGTGTGTGTGTGTGTGTGTGTGTGTGTGTGTGTGTGTGTGTAAACGCCCTTTAGATTCCACAGGAAAGGGACAATTTCCTATTTCAGACCACAAAATACACCCGCAGGCCACAGCTTGTAGTGTGGTGTGTGTGTGTGTGTGTGTGTGTGTGTGTGTGTGTGTGTGTGTGTGTGTGTGTGTGTGTGTGTGTGTGTGTGTGTGTGTGTGTGTGTGTGAGAAAAATAAGCGACGTTTCTCTTCTTCAGGTGTGTGTGTGTGTTCTCACCCCTCTCTCTCTCTCTCTGTTTCCACTCTTCGTGTTTTCCAGCCTCCATGATCACAGAAACTGGCAGAAGGTCATGTCTCAAGCTGAAGGTCTTCGTGAGGCCGCCGAGTAAGTGTCCCGATCACACACACTCACACACGCACACACACACACTCACTCACTTTAATGGACACTAATGGCTCTGGCTCTCCTTTGATTGGCAGGTGGGTTGGGCTGCTGATTGATCACTAACCTGATTGGCTTACAGTCTCTTTTTCATTTCTCCTGTTTTTGTAGATGGCTGTGAGAAAACCATAGGCGTTCATGACCGCGTTTTTGTCGATGACAAAGTAGACAATGCATTAGAACCAAGAGGTCAGTATGGCTTGAGTTCACCTCGGCTTTGTGTGTATTCCTCTAATCACTCTGTGCATGCATGCATATGTGTGTGTGTGTGTATGTGTTAAGGCTGCATGGTAAGCCTAATAGGATATCTTATCTTTTGTTGTAGGATATAATGCACCAGAATATATTGATGATAACTTGTATTGCTGTAATTTTAAGAACATTTTATGCCACTCATTATATAATGCCGGAATGACAATTTAATATTAACACAATGCAAGTACACTCTTTCAAAGAGCACATCGGGCCCTAACATACACCTGGCAAAATAAGGCGCAAGACGTGTTTGGCAAGAGTTGTTGCTATTTTCAGACCAGCATAACAGTAATTTTCACATTTTACTCCGCGTTGTTTAAATAGCTAATCCATTTGAGCCATTTTGTGGACTCATGGGTGTGCAGGTCTATAAAGGAGGTGTGTTAAGGTGCATTGTTGGCATGTTGCTCTTTTGAGGAACTATAATAGACCGCACCATTGACAGCATGTTATGTATGCGCCTATGCAGGTCTAAATACTTACACATTGCTGAATACACACAGGATGAACAGCATTACACAAATATCTTTACAAACGAAAACAATGAAAGGATTAAGATGGTACAGAAATGATGATTTTCTACATCAAAATAAACACCACTGCCTCCATGCCTCATCTCAGGGGGCTTTTTCAGTTTATTTATGACAATCTGCATCTGTGTAATGTCATTATTATTAGCAGTATTATTTATTATATGCAAATTTATATTTGTTTTAATCATACCAAGTGTAGATTTGTCCTCCTGTGGGGTTTTAGAGACGTCTGCATCAGACGTCTCCACCAAAGTAAAGGAGTAAAGAGTAAAAATAAAGTAAAGAGGCTGAATGGAGGAGGCTCGTTCTTTATCCTCGTGCTGCAGATGCTCTGTTTAACTGTTTTCTCGCTAGTGAAGCGTTCAGTTTTTACACGTACAAAGTCAGCCATGTAAATAGCAAATGCACCATGGAGCGATGCAACTGATTCCTAAAGGGAATGAGAGATGAGACTCTGATTGGTTTAATGCACGTTATGCTCAAAACACACCCAGAACTCATTTAGAGAATAAACACAGCCCTGTCAGACCATGCACCACAGTGCAAAGCATATTTTTTCATCCTTAAAATAGCAAAAGTGAATTCAGACATGCCCTTAATGCTTTAGCGCCACGCGCTTTGAACTGCACATAGATCGTTAAAATAGAGCCCAATGTGTCAGGCAGGATTGGATTGGGACACAAGGTGAGGGTTTCTTTTATGGGCCTGATCTAAGCTCTGTTACTTATCTACTCTTTTTACATGAGACATATTTCATAGTTTTGCCATGTTTGACATATGTTTAATTCACCATTTGTACATTAACATTTATAACATAGACGCCAAAAATACGTCTTCTCGTTAATCTCAGATGTGAGACCAACAAATAATAACTTGACTTCTAGTAGATCATTTGGAAAAGTGGCAGAAGGTGGATTTTTCTGATGGATCACCTGTTGAACTGAAACCCAATCATCATCACCAGTACTGCAGAAGACCTACTGGAACCAGCATGGAGCCAAGATTCTCACAGAAATCAGTCAAGTTTGGTGAAGGAGAAATCATCGTTTGGGGTTCATTCAGTATGTGGGCGTGCGAGAGATCTGCAGAGTGGATGATCAACATCAACAGCCTGAGGTATCAAGACATTTGTGCTGCCCATTACATTACAAACCACAGGAGAGGGACAATTCTCCAGCAGGATAGCGCTCCTTCTCATACTTCAGCCTCCACATCAAATCTCCTGAAAGCAGAGAAGGTCAAGCTGCTCCAGGATTGGCCAGCCCAGTCACCAGAGATGAACATTATTGAGCTTGTCTGGGGTAAGATGAAGGAGGAGGCGTTGAAGATGAACACAAAGTCTCTTGATGAACTCTGGGAGTCCTGCTGAAGGCTTTCTTCTTCATTCCAGATGACTTTATTAATCAGTGATTTGAGTCAGAGATGTATGGATGCAGTCCTCCAAGCTCATGATGGAGTCAGACACAATATTCATTCTGTCTCCACTGCAGCAGGACTTTATATTCTATACTGGACATTATTCCTGTTCAGTGATGAGACTTTAGTCTAAGCAGAGTCAGAGCTTACTGTCCTAATGAAATCATTCACAATCAAGACATGATCACATTTTATTGTGCTCAAATAAGCAAAATCTAGAGGCCTTTGCCTTTCATATGAGCCACTTCTGATACCAAATGATCAACTAGAAGTCATTGTGTTGGCTTGAGAAAACCAACATACTGTTATGCTACTCTGTCCTTGAAAACAAACGTATCTCCTCCTAGGCCGTTCATGCCACAAGGCCCAAATGTGGTCAAAATGTGCTTTCTACATTCAAGATTGTTGCTATATCTCCTCATGCCTATAAGACTTATTGCTTTTTTAATAAAAAATGTTAAATATAAAATTTTTATAATCTGGGCATATAAAAAAATTATACAAGCCCCAAATTTGGCCGAAAGCTGTATTTAGATGCGTTAGATTTTGTTGCTATATCTTTAAGGTTTATCAGACTTATAGTTTTTCAATAAATAATTTTTAAGCATTATTTTTCTTAAAATATGGCAAGCCATTTTTGACTTAAACTCCATATTGTTTTACTGACATGGCAAGCCATTTTTGCATTTATCACTTTCACACTTATTAAGCATTGTATTTTCAAAAAAATACGGCAAGCCATTTCTACATTATGTTTATTCCCTTAGTCTCTATATTAATCAGGGGTCGCCACAACGAAATGAACCGCCAACTTATCCAGCATTTGTTTTACACAGCGAATGCCCTTCCAGCCGCAACCCAACACCAGGAATACATAATGTTCAAGTCCAGTTTTTGACACTCATAAAGACTGTCATAGAAACATCGGGGTTGATTAAGATCACTCATATTGCCAAGAAGCTTTGATGTATCATCACAAACCTGTCAAATGTCCCCATAGCAACAAAACAGTATAACCTAGCAACCATTTAAAAATAGCAATATCTCTACATCAGAACATCGTAGGGACCTGGGCATTGGCTTGTTTGACTCATGCTAGCAAATGGGACTTCCTGTGTGCTATGCATGGTAACAATGATAATGGAAGCCAAGTGCTAATAACGATTAGCTACATGCTATAAATGATTATCTAAATGCAATAACATATGCTAGAAATGCCTACTGAGTATTAGCATTTGATCAAACATGTTCACGAGCATTGCCATTTAGCAACTGCTTAGCAACTACCTAACAATGCCATAATTGTTTTAGTAACTGCCTAGCAACCACTTAGCAACCGCCGCCGTGCTTCCTGCCAACTGCTATTCCCAGTCCTAGTGCAGTCACGTTGGCTTACTCAAGCCAACATTAAAGTTTATCAATGAACTTTAGGTTCTAGTTATTATTTACTGTTCCTAAAACTTAGATAGGCCACAAGACTTTTGTCACGTAGTCTTCATTGTTAGAACAATTTAATAAAATGAATTGGTATTAATTAGTATTTACAAATGGTACAATATCTTATGTCTGAATGCTTTTAAAATCCTCACACAGTGACAGGCCTTGAGAGATAATAATACTCCAGAACTTAACATTGCATATTCTGCGATTTGACTATTGCGAATCATCAGATTGCAACATCGATGCTCAAACCATATATTGTGCAGCCCTAGTGTGTGTGTGTGTGTGTGTGTGTGTGTGTGTGTGTGTGTGTGTGTGTGTGTGTGTGTGTGTGTATGTCTGGAGGATTTGAGTTGCGCCCGCAGCTTCTCTGACACTTCACACCACAAAGAGTGTTTTATTTATGCATGAGGAACACGTCGTATTAATAATGCATTCTCTTGTAATAGCTGAGGGCTGTCTGTCAACAACTCCACCATCTGCACAGGCAATTAGCTGACCACAAATTAGCCACGCGACCTTTCAGAGAGCCAAACGCTTCAGCTATCTTTCCATGCACCTATTTTTATGCACATTTTGGATTATCGCATGAAAAAAAATGCTTGTTGCACTGCGTTTACTTACTTCTTTGTCTTGTTTCTAGAGCAAATATTTAAAAATTCCTAAATCAAGAAGCGTTTTCTAGACAAGCAAAACATGTTGTCTTGTTTTAAGACATAATCTCAAAATGAAGTGGGTTTTTCCTTAAAACAAGCAGAATAATTTGACAATAAAGTGAGTAGAATAAACTTATTTCAACCTGAAAACAAGATTATTATGCTTACCCCAATGGCAGATTACTTAGCTGGTTGTAAAGTCCCCATGAAATCAAAATGGTAACACTTTACAACAAGGTTCATTAGTTACAGTTTTTCTCGATTGCTTGGATGCAGTTGTCAACTGAAACTCCACATTTTCAAAACAGTTAACACACAGGCCTAATCTGCGGCACTCATGGTCAAAATGACACATTTTGCTTGCAAAAGGCACATACCGTGTCAAAACATTTAACATATGCAACAAAAGCTAGTTTTACCTTCAAACAACACAACTTGCAAACAGGTATATGAGCTCTTTCAATTAATCACTGCACAACGGACAACAAAATACAGAACTCAGTGCACCACCATTGCTTGTCATTGTAGCCTATTGCCAATGCCATTCGTTGTCTTTCTATTTGGGCTGTCAAATTTGCCTTTTTGCAAAGAATTTAATCCAGAATAAGAAATGCTTTGATTACATTTATAATGAATTCATGACAATTTTCAAACTGTGGCTGAAAACTGAAATACTGTTAAAACAGACAAAAGTAATAAAATACTGTAAATATTAGAGAAAACACATGTAAACTAATATACAGTCAAAACTATTGGAAGTATAAGATATAGCCACTATTGACCTCCTCCATCCATGCTGGCACAGAACAACACAGACCTTCCACCGTTTTATAAGGTTTGCAGACTGATTGCTTTTTGAAGATTTGTGTGAAGGAGTGTCAAACCGGTG